AATGACCGACATTTCAAAAGAGAGACTACCATCACCTCAGAATCTTGGGCGCGCCGCCTGTAAGCTCTGAGGGAGAGGGTAGCCCCATAATTAATTTGGCCTATTTAAAAAACAAATGACACTACAAAAATAACCTACAATAATAATTTGGATAATGACCGACATTTCAAAAGAGACTACCATCACCTCAGAAACTTGGGCGCGCCGCCTGTAAGCTCTGAGGGAGAGGGTAGCCCCATATTTTGGCCTATTTCAAAACAAACGACAGTACAAAGAAGAACTAAAATAATAATTTGAATAATGACCGACATTTCAAAAGAGAGACTACCATCACCTCAGAATCTTGGGCGCGCCGCCTGTAAGCTCTGAGGGAGAGGGTAGCCCCATAATTAATTTGGCCTATTTAAAAAACAAATGACACTACAAAATAACCTGCAATAATAATTTGGATAATGACCGACATTTCAAAAGAGAGACTACCATCACCTCAGAATCTTGGGCGCGCCGCCTGTAAGCTCTGAGGGAGAGGGTAGCCCCATATTTTGGCCTATTTCAAAACAAATGACAGTACAAAGAAGAACTAAAATAATAATTTGAATAATGACCGACATTTCAAAAGAGAGACTACCATCACCTCAGAATCTTGGGTGCGCCGCCTGTAAGCTCTGAGGGAGAGGGTAGCCCCATAATTAATTTGGCCTATTTAAAAAACAAATGACACTACAAACATAACCTACAATAATAATTTGGATAATGACCGACATTTCAAAAGAGAGACTACCATCACCTCAGAAACTTGGGCGCGCCGCCTGTAAGCTCTGAGGGAGAGGGTAGCCCCATATTTTGGCCTATTTCAAAACAAATGACAGTACAAAGAAGAACTAAAATAATAATTTGAATAATGACCGACATTTCAAAAGAGAGACTACCATCACCTCAGAATCTTGGGCGCGCCGCCTGTAAGCTCTGAGGGAGAGGGTAGCCCCATAATTAATTTGGCCTATTTAAAAAACAAATGACACTACAAAAATAACCTACAATAATAATTTGGATAATGACCGACATTTCAAAAGAGAGACTACCATCACCTCAGAATCTTGGGCGCGCCGCCTGTAAGCTCTGAGGGAGAGGGTAGCCCCATATTTTGGCCTATTTCAAAACAAATGACAGTACAAAGAAGAACTAAAATAATAATTTGAATAATGACCGACATTTCAAAAGAGAGACTACCATCACCTCAGAATCTTGGGTGCGCCGCCTGTAAGCTCTGAGGGAGAGGGTAGCCCCATAATTAATTTGGCCTATTTCAAAAACAAATGACACTACAAAAATAACCTACAATAATAATTTGGATAATGACCGACATTTCAAAAGAGAGACTACCATCACCTCAGAAACTTGGGCGCGCCGCCTGTAAGCTCTGAGGGAGAGGGTAGCCCCATATTTTGGCCTATTTCAAAACAAATGACAGTACAAAGAAGAACTAAAATAATAATTTGAATAATGACCGACATTTCAAAAGAGAGACTACTATCACCTCAGAATCTTGGGCGCGCCGCCTGTAAGCTCTGAGGGAGAGGGTAGCCCCATAATTTGGCCTATTTCAAAACAAATGACAGTACAAAGAAGAACTAAAATAATAATTTGAATAATGACCGACATTTCAAAAGAGAGACTACTATCACCTCAGAATCTTGGGCGCGCCGCCTGTAAGCTCTGAGGGAGAGGGTAGCCCCATAATTTGGCCTATTTCAAAAACAAATGACACTACAAAAATAACCTACAATAATAATTTGGATAATGACCGACATTTCAAAAGAGAGACTACCAACACCTCAGAATCTTGGGCGCGCCGCCTGTAAGCTCCGAGGGAGAGGGTAGCCCCATAATTTGGCCTATTTCAAAAACAAATGACACCACAAAAATAACCTACAATAATAATTTGGATAAATGACCAACATTTTAAAAGAGAGACTACCATCACCTCAGAATCTTGGGCGCGCCGCCTGTAAGCTCCGAGGGAGAGGGTAGCCCCATAATTTGGCCTATTTCAAAACAAATGACAAAACAAAGATGACCTAAGATAATAATTTGGATAATGACCGACATTTCAAAAGAGAGACTACCATCACCTCAGAATCTTGGGCGCACCGCCTGTAAGCTCTGAGGGAGAGGGTAGCCCCATAATTAATTTGGCCTATTTAAAAAACAAATGAAACTACAAAAATAACCTACAATAATAATTTGGATAATGACCGACATTTCAAAAGAGAGACTACCATCACCTCAGAATCTTGGGCGCACCGCCTGTAAGCTCTGAGGGAGAGGGTAGCCCCATAATTTGGCCTATTTCAAAAACAAATGACAGTACAAAAACAACCTACAATAATAATTTGTATGATGACCGACATTTTAAAAGAAAGACTACCTTCACCTCTGAATCTTGGGCGCGCCGCCTGTAAGCTCTGAGGGAGAGGGTAGCCCTATAATTTGGCCTATGACACTACAAAAATCACCTACAAAAATTGTTTGGATTATGACCGACATTTCAAAAGAGAGACTACCTTCACCTCAGAATCTTGGGCGCGCCGCCTGTAAGCTCTGAGGGAGAGGGTAGCCCTTTAATGTGGCCTATTAATTAAGTAAAGAGCAAGTAACAATACAAAGGTAACCTGAAATAATAATTTTTGGATTATGATTGACATTTCAAGGAGGCTAAAATGACTGATATAGAAACCATACTGTATCTGTGACGTTGATTATACAGATCGCCCACGCGAACACGAAGATGTTGAAGTGGAAGCTAGAATATCTGGAGTAATCCAGCGTCTTGGGCTCCTTCCAGCGAATAAGATTTTGGCGGGATTTCGACAGTGCTTGGCGGGCTTTTTGGAGAGTGATTTGTCACTGGAGGCACATCGACGCTTACATCGTCTTAAGCCAGAGAAAAAAGACTTGAATCCTTCGCCGTTTGATCAAAAAGGTAGTCCATTGAATCAGATAATCGGTGTTGCTGTTCCTCAAGGGGATGTGAAGTAGAGCTCGAGCTCTCGCCTTCGTTTTCTCCGGCGACTATAAAATGTGCATTGTTGACGGCTTTTCTCAAACGTTCAAATAGAGAAGATTTAAAAATTTCTCTGGTCGGGGTCTTTTCCAAGCCGAGTTCCTTCCAAACCGGAGAAAGATGTGCCAGCAGAGAGTGTATTCCTACTTGCGGCTCCACAGTAAAAACTTGATACGCCGACTCGCTGTTTTCGCTTCGAAGGTCACCAATGTTGACACGGCATACCACTCTTGGCAGAAGTTAAATAAGCCATCGGAGCACTATTTTCTTAAAAGAAAGCACTTGAAAAACCATTGAAAGCGTATCAAGCCTATTTGAATCCAAATGCGGCGAGAAAACTGTAGTTATCAATTGCGAAGCCAGAGGCGCGAAGATCGACTTCCAAATTTTCAATCGACCGTGAAATGAATTTATAATACCCAAATAGTCTGATCAAATTTCGCGTTTCCTTGAGATGTCTGGTTCGTTTAATCACAAGTACAAAGTTCCTTGACAGGCAATGTGTCCGGCGCTCTCCAAAGGTGTCTGGAGGAATGCTTAAAGGGCAACTGTCGCGTAGGACATCATTTTTCGGGAAAACCTTGCAAATGTTTCCCTTATTGTGATACTACCAAGAAATATATCTTAAGCGATCTATTTGGGTCAGAAATCGCAATTGAAAGTGTCCAATTTGCCGCTTACTCGATCTTTCGCCATTAACGCTTCGATTTCATTGATCACGTGACGTTACGTCACAAGTGTGGAACAACAAATGATCTCTAATATGGCCGACTCTAGTTCTTTGAGCGATAGCTCTACCTCTTCGTCCGATTATTCAGATATAGAAGAACTTTTAGAATGCGAAGCACCCGAAAGTAGAGGGCAGCCCTTCACAGGGATTCAACCCTGGCGTTTTGAGCCGCCTGGAAGATCTCACGAGGCTGACGAAGTTCGTGAGTCGACTGAAAACATCGAGCCTGCCACGCGTCGCTGCGATCTCGATAGTGAAGAATGGTGAGTGTCCAGATGGTATATAACATTTGTTATGTACAATGCGATCCAAATATCCCTCGATTTCGTCAATGTTATGGATTATCTAAATTGTAAAAGGAAAATGACTAATTAAACACGCACCTTTTTTTTGGAAATCGGAGTGTTCATAATTTTGAATGGTTCTCACATGCACAATTGCTCGAAAGCGTAATTTTCCCTTGGAATGGACTGCTCGAAATGATAATCTGGGCAAGTTGCTTCAGTGTATTTTTTTACAATTTCTGGTTTAATAGTGGTTTTGCCACAAGCATAGGTTCTTGCCAAAACTACGCTCTCGTAATCTGTTGACTGTAGTAAATATATTTACATTTCTACATCGTTACCCCATTGACAGCTGTTCATGTTCATGTAGTTGTTATACAGTGCACATAACATTTGAAAGGCGCTGTATAGTTTTGTCCTTACAAGTCGTTCACTAATCGTTAATGTGTCTCGTTCTATCAATGAATGTGTCTAACAAGTCATTATTCTAGCTTTTGTGTATCCTGGTGTTAAAAAGTTGGTCTTTATGCGCCCATGTGAATATTTACTGCTTGCATAAAGGTTTCTTCTTCTCGGTATATAATATTCGAGGCTGAGACATATTTATAATCACTTATGTTTTTGTCTTGAGCATAATAGTGGTTGTGTAACTTTATTCACAATAATATTGCATTTGATTTGATATAGCCACAGGAACTTGGTTCTTGATTATTTTGTGGTTATGGACATGAGATACTTTAATAAGGCCATAAACATTAAAGTATGAATAAGGCAGTTTGATAAGTTTCGGGTGCAGAATGAAAATGTCAATATTCAACACTTGTCTTTTTGCCTTTCATTAGCCAGACATTCACTTTTGATCATGAAAAAAACATAACTGCTATTGATTGTTTGCAGGTGCTTGTGTGGCTACTGCCAAAAAATGTGGCGGGAGGAGGAAAACATCTGCTGCCAAGAGGTGGATGTTGTAAAGCGTAAAAATTTGGAGGCAGTTGACGTTGAAAATATGGAGGAGCCTCCAAAGTGCATCGTGGAACACCCAGGATTCCAGGCAGTTTGCCTGAATTACCGGGTGTTACAGGCTACATGGCTGCAATACAAGCAGCAGTATGGTGCCTCGGCATATGAGGGATCAGATCATAAAAAAAGCAGGCACATTGCATACAGGCAATTGGTAAGGTGGTGCTGGGGCTCCCTTGGAAAGGACATAAGAGTTCCCTTACCATCATGTGCAGTAAACTGCGTACGGGCTCATTTCCAGGAGCCTGAAAGGCTGGATGATGAGATGGAGTATACAGGATTTCAATATGCAGATGAATAAATATAAAATATATTTCAAATAACCCTACTGTCTATAGAATATTATAATGTAATTTTCTCACTTACCATTGGAAGATTGGCGTAGGGATATTTGGTTGCCATGAAAATGGTTGCTACCAGCAAACAAAATGCCCCTTACTCTTAAATATGTAGCATGGAAGTGTCAACAAAGACTGGTGGAACTAGAAAGTTCACTTTCAGACTACATCGTTTTTTAAAGCCCAGTGGTGTGTGGGAAATACATAATTATTCTTTCTATTTGCTCAAGGCTTGTGATTGGATGGTTAATCCTCATTTTAAAAAATAGTATTCTCAATTGACTTGTTTCTATCTTCCATATTAATAAATGATTAGACAACAACGATACACAAAGTTGTTCACAGTTTACAGTCCAACTACTTGAACCAGGGTACTTGGAAGAAGATTATCTAATCATTAATTTTGTTTTGCAATGGACCAATGACATTTATGAATTTTAGAGCTGTTTTCCTGAGAGGTAAGTTGAGTTCAAACTGTTTTAAAGGTTTCAACGTTTGCATTGTTGAAACAAAATTCAGAATCCTCTGTTTTCAAAAACCTTTTTTCTTGGATAGTTTTCTTCCAGGTGTCCAGTTCAAGTGAATACCATATAGCACATGATCATTTTAGTCACAGTAGTGACATAATTTTTAGCCTAAAATAGTTTTTTCAAGCATTCCATACTGAAGGGCATGCTAGTCTTTAGTTGACTAGGCTGGAACGATTGTATCTGCTATTGAAAGAATTTATTGCCTCCTCTCTGTTGGGTCTCTCTATGGATGCAGCAAGTGGTGGGGTATTCACTTGCAGGTTCAACATGTAGGTCTTTAAGGCCCTTGAATTGTCTTCATAGCCGGCAAAGACTTTGGTTATGGTACTTGAGCAATAACCTAAAATAAAAAGGTACGTAATACTGTAGGAGTGAACCTCAAGTTTAGTTATTGAAATGTTTTCATTTAGATGTCATATCTATCTGTGTGCCATGAAATTCACAGGTTACTGTGCTATGTTAAAATCATTTTTACCATAAGCAAATGTGGCTGCAGATAATGGTTGCCTTAACAAATGATCTCAAAAAATACAGAACAGCAATTTAATTTTTATCCTGTGTACAGATCCCCCTCCCCTCAGTAAAAAGCTGACAATGGGCCCCTTCTCCATTTTTTACCAAGGCAGGGGGGGACTTTACACAGGCTATGTTATAACTATTTACCCACCATAGGTTGCTTTTGTTTTAACTTCTCTCACTGAATATCCCCCGTGTTTGGCTTTAGGAAACCTGATGGCATAGCGTGGTCTCCCATCTACAGTTACAGCTTGCATCCTGTCAGCATTTTCATTGTAGTGCAGAGCAGAAAGGCACAGTCTGAAAAGTTCATATTTTTAGAGGGGATGGGAAAGAACCATTAGGCTAACTTTAAGTAAAAGGAAAGAGTCCATAGCTTAGAAGAAGAAAATAATACTGAAAAAGAAAAATTAAAGGAAAACAATAGACCAATCTCAAAAGTTTATTATGGTAACTATTAATCCATTAGAGACACAAACCTTGTGTACATCCCCCAGTACGAGAAAGCGGTATGTTTTGGGACGAAGTGTAGATCAAGGCTATGTTTGGCTTCAAGGGCGGAAGTCTGGTACTTAGGGGACAGCTGAGAAATGTCCTTCAGCAGTTGGGGCTTTGTTACCAGCTCCTCGAGCTTGACAGCAGCAGTTGAGCCTGTGAAATTGAGGACCTAGTTGTAGTCAAAATTCCCGCACATAAAGGTGACTGTTTGTAAATGTTTGTATATATGTGCCTTTTTTCTTGTCACGTTATAACGTTTTGTCGTTTTTTTTTAGGGTGGTTCATTTTAATTTCCTGATTAGTGAATTAGTGGACACCTTTTCTGTCCTATAAGCAGTGTTAATGACACTGGCCTTATTCTAATTAAAAGGTTTTCCTTGATTCTGACAGAAAATGTAGCCTTCTATTCTATAACTTGAGATGGCAATAGAGGAGTTACTGGATGTCATTTTTTTTTTGTCTACAAACCTGGTTGAAGCCAAAGTCTATCCCTTGCTTCTCCCTCTAGTTCACCATGTCCACATTCTTTGTAGAGTTCGCTGCTCTGATTGACGTGAATGTTCTGGATGTGCAGGGGTAACATTTTCCATTTTTCCTGCATCATACGCCCATTACCATCTGGTGTCGTGGCAGCACACCAATACATATGATTTGATACAGACTGTCGCCACTCACCGACATCTTCACACTCTTTTTTTTTCGCTAATTTGTCAATCTTTTTGCATAAACCTGTTCAGAATGAGGGTCATATATGTCAGAATCGAATTATTCCATACGCGACAACTGGAGCTTAACTGGATAGAATGTATTACAAACTATTTTAGTCCTTGTGTGGATGCGATTGTTACCTCGAGTAAACTATTGGGGTTGACTTTTTAGCCCTCATTACCTTTAGACACATGCCATATGTCAAAATAGTGTCGAGAGTCAGGCAAATTCGTTCGAATCCAAGCGGTATTCTGCTTGTGTCTGTCGGTGATGATCTCCGCTATATGCAGTCTGGCATTAGAAACGACTTGAATGGCCCGTTTTAAACCCTCATGTTCCATCCAAGAACTGTTCCGCACCTCGTTGCTCTAATAAGGATCAAACGTTTCGATATATTTTTATTTTGCCTCAACACCGGAAATCACATAGTTATTTTTTAAAAAATGTGGGAGACATTGGAATTAGATACTAGAATCACTGACCTGAACTAGTTGGAAGTCCAACACCCTGTTCTTTTGCTGTTCGAGTAACGTGTAGGAACCGAATTTCGCGGAGTAACCAGGGGAATCGCACCTTCCATCGCCAGCCAGAACCAGTCCGTTGTCCTGACTGCTAAGACTATTGAAGAGCTGCTGTTGATGTGCTTTCCACTGCTGTATAATAGTGGGATTTACGTACGATTTGATGTGACGGTAGTATGTCCTCTCTGATATGCACGCCACGTTCATAATATTAAACATCCGTAAGGTTTTAGCGGCAGAATTTCCTGTGACGAAAGGAAAAAAAATACAACGACCTTCACCCTATTGAACTTTCTACTGCAGGAACTAGTTACAGATTTGTCATACTCTGTTCATTTTGTTCAAGACCATTAAGTAGCCGCATCTCCTGTCTTTAGGTCTTCAACGGACCACGCCTAGAACGCAACTAAAAAAAAAAGATAACAATAGGGAGACTTACCCGTTAAAAGAATTGAAGAAGAAAGCAACAAGTTCCCAACTGGCATCTTTCCATTAGAAAACGGCTGGCTGCACCACACATTGCTGAACTGACAATTTTCTTCCGTACAGTGATAGTGGACCTGAATCATAGTCCCGATTTCTTTCGAAATTTTAGCCTCTGCGTGGCCAGCACAGATGGGGCAACAAGCAAACAAGCTCAACAGATTTGTTTCGAAGACAATAAATTTCCTTTCCTCATGTGGCTTCAACTTTTGCGTTTCTCCAATAGATCTGCATGATATTAGCAACAACAAGAATGAAACATTCAGTATATTAAACGGAGAGTATAGAAATAGGGGTTATAGTTGTTTCTTTGGGCGGATATGTTAAAAAGGAGGGATATAGAGTGGTGCGGAGTTTAAATCAAGCCGGCGTTACTGCAGCTTATGAAACTCATCAACGGCTTGTGTAAATAGTTCATCTTTACTTTTTTTTACCGTTGTGACTTTCCAGATTCTTTTTTATCTTCACTACCACCTTCGTCTTGATCTTCGTCGGATGTTAAGTAGGGATTGTACTCTTCATCATCAACGTCAACGTCTTCAAACAACTCGTCTTCAAACGACGCGGGTAGCTCTGGCGTAAGTGTATAATCTGTTTGATTTTCTGCCTCCTTACGTAAAGTTGAGAGCAGTTTTAACGGAGGAAGTTCTGCTATGTTGCACTGTGACCCATTTTCCACCGTTGTGTTGGACTTTGGAGAAATCTGGGTACCTATGATTAAAAACCTTAATCACCAAAGATAGTCGCATCGCAAAGAATGTTTGAAAAGATGGCTAAACCCTTTGTAAACACACTTATTTTTCAAGATATAATTAAGATTAAAGTCTACCTTTGCTGCGACAGATCTAGATTGGGCGGCGGAGTCCTTTCTGAGTTCCCCTGTTAGCCGTTTGAAACTCCCGAGCCTGACTTCCTTCTTCTTGCCCTGCACCAGTCTCTAAACACGAAGTGTCACCAGATGCACTCGTTGAGGGCTGTGCCAGATCCGTTGTTTCGGGAACTTCAGGTTGATTGTTACTTGGTGGTTGTCTGTTGTCACTTGGGGATGGTCCCGGTACTTTATCAGTGGTCTTTTCTTTTTCTCGCGTCTTGGACGACTTTTAGGCGTTATTTCCCCCTTTTGTTGAACTTGCCGCTTTGAATCACCTCGCGTTGCCGCAGATGGACGTTTTCTCTTAAGAGAGCGCGCTTCCTGGATTTGTTCAGGGGTGGGATTGGCCTGAATTGTTGGGATGGCCGTCTTCTTCAGATAAGCCTTCTTAGCAAACCCTGCGAGTTTCGCACCCATTCCTTCAAAACAGTCTGGCGTAAAATGGGAACTGCAAATATTACCAGATCCCGGCGTCCAGTCGTCGGTCCTCTTTGCTAAGACAAAAGCGATCCACTGGCGCCGAAAGGGTTCATCGGTGGGAAACTGGTGGAGACTTACTCCGTCTTTGTTGGTGTTGTTACAAAACATAACCGCGCAGCGCTTGCCTGGTTCTCTCTTCTTTTTCGGTCCCGTGGCCGTTTTTTTGTCCTTGGAGGAGTTTTCCATAAGTACCGCAACGGGGATTTAAATATGGGTAATTGATTTTTTTTTTCCTACTTGTGTCCCAAAGAGAAGTATTGCAAAAGAAGCGAGGCACGCGTGCTATCACGGCAATTTTATAGTCGACAGGTTTCGCAATAGATTGACGCCTCAATCTCGAGAGCTTATCTCGAATA